CAAAACTGCATGGTATTGGAACAAGAACAGACATACAGACCAATGGAATCGAATAGAAAATCCAGAAATAAACCCACAGATTTATGGTCAACTAATCTTTGACAAAGGAGCAAAAACTATGCATTGGAGCAAAGAAAGTTTGTTCAATAAATGGTGCTGGGAAAACTGGGTCGCTACATGCAAAAGAATGAAGCTTGACCACCACCTCACACCATACACAAAAAATCAACTCAAAATGGATTAAAGAACTAGACATAAGACCTGACACCATAAAATATATAGAAGGAAATATAGGCGAACACTACGTGATTTGCACATCAAAGACATCTTTACAGACACATCACCCAAAGCAGTGATAGTGAAGGCAAAGATAAACAGCTGGGACTACATCAAATTAAAGAGCTTTTGCACAGCAAAAGAGACAATAACAAAAACAAAGAGAAACCCCACCAACTGGGAGAAATTTTTGCACCCAACACTAATGATAAAGGACTGATCACAAAAATCTGCAAAGAGCTGATGAGACTCAACAACAACAAAGAAAATAATCCAGTCAAAAAATGGGCAGAAGAGCTTAAAAGAAACTTCTCTGAAGAGGAAATGCAAATGGCCAACAGGCATATGAAAAAATGTTCAACATCACTTGTAATCAGGGAAATGCAAATCAAAACTACCATGAGATACCATCTTACACCAGTGAGAATGGCACATATTAAAAAAACTAGCAACAACAAATGTTGGCGAGGGTGTGGAGAAAAAGGAACTCTTCTGCACTGTTGGTGGGAGTGCAAACTGGTCCAACCACTGTGGAAAGCTGTATGGAGATTTCTGGACCTACTAAACATAGAGCTTCCATATGATCCAGCAATTCCACTCCTAGGTATTTACCCAAAGGACACAGAAACATCAATTCCAAAGAACACCTGCACCCCTATGTTTATAGCAGCACTATTTACAATAGCTAAGCTTTGGAACAACCCAAATGCCCAAAAATAGATGACTGGATCAAGAAGATGTGGTACATATATACCATGGAATATTACTCAGCATTCAAAAAAGATAAAACACATGCAATTTGCAGCAACATGGATGGCGCTGGAAGGGATCATGCTCAGCGAAATAAGCCAAAAAGAAAAGAAAAATACCGGATGGTCTCACTCATAGCAGGAATCTAGAAAACTTAAATAAGGGACCAGGAAAATGAATAACTATAAGAAAGTGAAAATCAAAATCAACAAAAAACTATGAACCAGAGACACTTTTAGGGGGGCGGGGGTGGGAGGGGAGGGATTGGGGTCAGAAGGGGGGGCTGCAATTGTATGGGGAATATAACAATAAAATTTATTAAAAAAAAAAATAAATAAAAAAAAAATAAAAAATAAATTTTAAGCACAAAAAAAAAAAAAAAGAAACAATGAGGGCCACACAATCACACCAGCCCTCTTCTTAGGTTTGAACTCACTCTTATGATAACATAAAGCTAATGGCACTTTTCTTGTCCCATCTCAGTATTTCTCCATGCAAAACTCTTGATACTTTCATAACTCAGTTTTTCTGAATCTGCCCTTAGCCACTGTTCATGTTTCATGTGTACCTGCTCAGAAAATGGCAGGTACTGGAGCTGCACCAACGCAGCTCTGCACACTGAGCGATCCTGAGAGAAAGTGCAACGTCAAGCATGTTTTGCTGTTCCCTTCAGGATAAGGTGGAAGGGGCGTCGTCCTCCTGTCAGTCTCACTTCTCATGGGCCTTTCTTAGAGCATCTCACTGTTCTGTTATCCGCATGCCTAAACGTGCCTCAGTTATAAAGCATGGCCCTAAACACACAGATTTACTGTATTTGGTGCACAGTTGAAGAAACTGATTCATTCTGATGGTGGCCGAAAAAAAGATTCTTTTATTTTTATTAATAGTTTGTCATTCTCAAATGAGACCCCTTTCACTATGAGATTGAGATTTGTAGGTTACCAATTAATCACCTTTCACTTTAAACAAATCACTATTAACTGCCAGCTTCTGAATGAATTGCAGTCATTCTTCTACAGTTTACCACTAATATTCTCTACTGAATTAGAGTCGACGAGCCGTCCAATTATTTCAATTGGTAGACAGGCTTACAGTGAATGCAGAGATAGTCCATACTCCAAGTAACAATAGCAATGCTAATAATACTTAATGTTGATCTAGCCCTCAATACCAGGCTCTGTGAAGATGCACTGTACACTTAGCATCTTATTTGATCTTCAGCCACATGCGAGGTAGGTCCTGGAAGCCTCATCTGAAAGCACAGTAATTGACCTAGTGACAACGCGGGGACACATGCATACCTCCTGTATACAAATAGCCTAAAGCATAGGTAACTCCAGGAAGGCAATAAAGAATCATTACAGGGGCAGATCAGCAAGTGCCGATTAACATACAGACTGTAAACAACCTGTGTTTCCAAAGTTCTCATTTAGGAGTGGCTTGTCCAGAGTTGGAATATATTTTCCCAAGGAAATGATGTTATCACAACAAAAGTGTATTTACCCATACTGTGCCTACAGTAGTAATAACAGACCCAAGCCATTTTTGTGTACCAGTGTTTCCATGGAAAAAATCACTCCGATTTTCCCCTTGTCTGACTGTACACACATTTCTCTACCAGTGAGGAAAGCGGGGGCCCTCTGCTTTAATGCTAATTCCAGAGACAGTTCAATTCCTGGACCAGTGATGGCTCCCGAGGCCTGTGATGGGTATTAATGGAGGCAGGAGGACAGATGAGTGAGTGAACTGTGTACAGAGGAGTCCAGGGCCAGATAGCGAGTGAGTAAGGGAAGAAAGCCTAGGAGTGTGATTGGGTGGGTGGGAGTTCCTCAGAGGAGAGAGAGGAGGTGAGTTTGGGAGACCCAGAATTCACTGGGTCTAGCCCCCCAGAGACTCTTCTCAGCCCTGGGGTAGCTCCCTGCTCACTACCTGTGTTTCTTCTACTGACCCAAACATTTTGCCTCCCTGCTTCCCTTTTCACTGCTGACTTTAAGGCTTCCTCATGTACCCAGACCAACCCCCTGGCTTTTCTTGACTCAGCAGCTCCTAACATGAATGAACGACCCTGAGTGTTTTTAACCTCTGTGAAGGAACTGCCTGTCCTAGAGCCTCCAGAACATTTCTGTTTTTCACTTAGACCTGGAAGAGCAAATATCCCTACAGATACTTTGAAGGGAGGAGGAGGCATTAAACAGCAGAAATATAATGCGCAGACATTCCAGACGTAGCTCTCCATGGCGGAGACTTGTGGGGAAAGAGAGAAACCCTCCCTCTGCGCCTTTCTCTCTGGTCTTCGCTTCTGTGACCCTCTGTCCTCAAAGAAAGTAGAAAGGAGGCGTAGGGCCCAAAGGGCAGCTTGCCCGGGAGGGAGGGGGAGGGAGGGACTCCAGGACAGCGTGATCTTTACATTGCTGCTGGGCTGTGTTTTCCGGCAGCACGTCTCCAGCAGGGGTAGAGGGTCTCCCTGGGCACCTGCCTCCACCAGACTCTGCAAGGACCCTCTTGACTCACTTCTTCTTTCCCCACTGGCCGATGTCTCCCTGTCTTCTCTGGTGATGCATATGGCCTGGGAACCTCAGGAGCCACAAAAAGCCTAAGTTCTCAGGCCCAATGCAGACCCACTGAATCAAAATCTCCAAAGGAAAGGCCTGGAAAGCCATCCTAGGAGATTCCTGTCAAGTATGTTGGACAAACACTGCCTGATTGCCCACCACGGCCATCGTCTGGCTGCTTTTAAAAGGTTCTGGGGACGCTCTACACCCCTCTCTGCCTCAGAATCGTTCTATTTGCTGATTCCTCCTATTCTCCCGGATGAAGCCTACTTCTCATAGCTTCATGACTCAACTGAAATACGATTTCTTCAGAGAGACTATCCTCAACCACTCTCCTCACCATCTAAACTAGGCTCCCTGTTCTCTTATACCACCCTGTGCTTTTCCTGAGCACCTAGCTCAGCTGGACTCTCCTGTATTCATTTAATGTCTACATCCTCCTCATCCCCAGCCCTGGGAATGCTTGTGAAGTATTTTCTATGTGAGTGAATAAATGGGAACAGTGCTGGGAGGGGAGTGCTTGTGCCTGGTTGGCAGCTCTTCAACAAATAAGGAACTGAGTGTATGAAAACTTTACCTCCCAGGTAAAATTTTTACAAGCCAGCTAAAATCAAAGTGCATGGGCCCAACAAATTTGTGTATTTATGGGAACAATATTCGGATTTTTCCCCAAAATATTTATTGAACAACTGATGTATGCACAGTCCAATATTAGGAGTTATGGCTACCACGGAGAATAAGAAAGAACAGTTTCTGTCTTTGCTGGTACATGCTAGCAAGGATGACAGGTATTAAGCAGCCAGTTACACAGTTTTATAAACATAATTCTGATCATGCAGTGAAAGAATCACAGAGCTGAAACAGCGGGACACAGGGAGACCCACCGTGGTCTGTAGGGCATCCAATTGTCAGAGAATTTTTGAAACAGCTGGCTGGGGAACCTGTGCCCCAAGAATCCTATTATATTCTGTCCTGTCTCTTGTCAACATTGGCATGAGGGGCGGGGTGTCTTTGTAGCAGTTCTTCAACCTCAGCACCGTCCACACCTCAGGTTAGACAATACTTTATTTTGGGGGAACTTCCCAGTGTCTGTACGAGATGTTTATTTAGCACCAATCCTGGCTCTACCCACCAGGTGACAGTCGACCCCACAGTGGACAGGCACACATATTCCACCATTGCCAGATGCCCCTTTTGGAGGATCGAGTCGGGTAGGAGGTAGGGGGACACAGAATTTGTCCCTCCTCCCTCCCCCAGTTAAGAACCACTGCTCTATATGAAAGTTGTTTTTTTTTGTTGTTGTTGTTTTTTAATGTCAGTTGTGATTTATCTGAGCCAACGGTAAGAGGCAAAATCCTAGGAGGACCTGTATTTGGCCTTGCCTCCCTGTCTGCAGGTCTAACCAAACTGCTTGTGTTTCAGAGGATCCTCCACAGAAGGTCAGCTGAATGGACTCCAGAGCAGCCTTAACTCTGCAGCCTTTGTGCCCATCACCAGCGCCATAGGTGAGTGGGTACACCAGTTCTTCCATGGGGGGACTGCAGAGAGGGTGAGGCGCTTCACTCATTGTTTCTTCCAGCTCAGAAGGGAGCTCCAGTTGAAAGAATGAATTGGCCAGACTTTTGATGCATTAGCAAATGAATTTTTTGTTACGTTCTTCTTTAGAATGATATGACAACTTCGGATAGAATTATTTTCTGGAACTTGTGTTGGTTACATGAAATTTCCTAGACTGATTGAATGCTATCATATTTGCAACATTTAGTAAATGTGCATGTGTTATGTGTTTCACTGTTTACATACTTTTTCCACATGTAGAATCTCTCATTGAATCCTCACCATAGCTCTGTGAGGTGTGTCTTCTTGTCTCTCCCACAGGAGGAACCAGGCAGCAAGTCTATAGAGCAGTGCTACGGCTCAGAAAGTTGAGGGGCCTGTGGGATATTGTAGATGGACGCAGAGCTACAGCTCGGTCTTTGTCCCCAGTCTTGTCATGCTAACGTCATGGCCTATTGACAGGTAGTTGTGCAGGGCCTAACATCTGGCACTGTAGGTACCCCCATCTGAGATACACAACACTGGCCCAGGGGTAGTTCTCTGTTAACAATAATTCATAAAAATGCACTAATAAGCAACCAGAAAATAGAAAGTCACTTTGGTTCAATTCAACAAATATTTATTATTGTGGAGCAAGTCACATGCTGGGTGCTGAGGTAACATGGGGTGAATAGAACAGTGTTCTGGTCACAGTGAACTGATAGATTCAGGGAGAGAAAAGTCAGCAGGAAGTCTGCTGCAAGGTGAGTAAATATCAGGTTCTGGGGACACATAATGTAAAAGTAGATGCCACTGACTGAGCATTTGCTGTGTATCAGGTACAGTTCTGAATGCTTCACATGTAATAACTCTTGTAAACAAAGAAGGCACATAGTATGGAAACTGTGTTCCCGGTTTCATGACTGAAAAAGTAAAGACACAGGTTATGAAATGTGTCTAAAACCTCACAGCTAGTACGTGGTGGGGTAATATTTGAACCCGAGCCACATGGCCCAGGTTTTCCCGGGGTTGGAGAGGGCTCTATGAGGAAGAAATATCTGATATCAGAAAAGTCCAAGAGAGAGGGGAGGCCTGGGGTGGAAGGAGCTTCAGGAAGAGCAGTCACTGTGGGCAAAAGCCAGGGGTGAGGGAGGGTGTGAAACACACTGTGTCGTGGGACCTTTTGTGTCAGTGTGGTTGGACCTAGGGAGTGGCAAGAGAAAGGACTCTGGTGATAACAACTTACAAGCCATAGAGAAGTTGGTCCTGAGAGCAATAGGAAGTCATCAAGGCGTTTAATGCTGAAGGAAGGAAGCGTTGACATAATATACCTTAAAATGATTACAAGATTGCTGAGAGGCCTCGTAAAGTTGACTATCCTGGGGACAATGAATGTCTCATAGGCTCGCTGTGAGGAATAATTGAAGTCATTACAATTATGCCCAGCTCAGGTAATATGATAAGACTATAGAAACTTTGTTCCCCACTTAAAATCCTAGAACCTGAATCCAAGAACTATTTAATGGATACTTGCACCTCTTTCCCCAAACAACAACAAAAAAGAATTGCTGGCACATGGTAGTTCTTTTTGAGGAGGTAAAGTTTTCACTTAGAACTGTTTCGGGCTAAGAAGTAAGAATCGTAGTCCAGTGAAAGGATTTCCATGAAATGTGGCTTTTAGAGCCCCATCAGCTCTTCAAATCTGATGGCAGCAGAGATCCAGGAAACCCTTCTACTTTACTTGGCTGTCTAATCAAAAAATCAAGTACCGAATTGAACTCTTTGCATGCACTCTGGCTGAGGAGATTAGAAATTTAAGGAGCCTGTGGGTCCTACTTAGAGCATCTTGATTATGGATTAATATTTACTAACTCTTCACGTTACCTAGATTTTGTAGAAGTTCTAGTGAAATTTGGTGTCAGCATGAAAACACAGAGCGAAGAGCAGAACTTGAACCTTACCTATATCAACCATTTTCCCTGCTTCCTTGTTAAGATGAGCACATTACTCTTCTCACCTCGCTTAGGTAGCTTGCTTTTACTGTTTTTGTCCCCTAATGACTCTGGGCCTCTAAAGTCCCTTGAGTTTATTTCTATTCTGTGACTTTCTTTCTCGTCCTGATCTTTAATTAAAGAAACAAATGACATAGGAGGAACATGATATAGTAAGGTTCAGGCATTTCCCATACTTGCCAATAAACATTTTACCTCAGCATTTTAATAGTAACTAACCATGTTTTTTTTTTTTTTTTTTTAAAAAAATGTTAAAAGTTATTTATACACCTATACTCACCTATCTCATAGATTGAAAGAAGTAATTTTCGAGGAGGTCTTAAGGGTGTCTAGTAAAAAGAAGAATGTTGCATGAAAAGGCGTTACAGAGCTGTCAGAAACACTTTCAAAGAAACACTTTTCTTTAAATCCTAAGGAGGGAGAACAACCCCCCATGATAAGTCGAGTTCACACATCTCCCTGAGAGCTGGGAAGTTTGTGCTTGTGTAAGAATCGCTAAACTGACTTTGAAAGGTATTTGGCCCTTGTCTGGTCCAGCTAAGTTGGTCAAACGCAGTATCAGTGAGTCTGCGAATATAGCAGAAGCCTGTTTCCTGGCCCTTTGACCCTTCTGCAGGTCTGGCCAAGCAGGCTTACAGCTGTGTGACTTTGTTCGTCAGATAGTCTGAATGAGAGTGATTCATCCCAGGGCACTGCTGAAAACAAGGCAGGGTCCTTTCCCAATGATGGCGGCCAAGGGGCATTCTTGTCCTATGAACATTGTGTGAAAGTTCCCAGCAGAGAGCTGTAGTGTGACTCCTCCACCTCGGGCTGTGTATTCTGAGCTGGCTCTGAAGGGAAGGTGTAGAGTCAGCACATTTGGAAATTTGAGAAGGAAGTGAGAGTGAGGGCCTTTGGCTCAGAGCCAAAGCTGTTGGCCTTCCTTTATAAGCATGGCGTTCTTGAGTTCTGAGGTGGCGATGGTGAACTAAAATAGCAGACAGCGCCATATTAGATAACTGACATTTCCCTCATACTGGTCTGATAGCATCAACTGCCACCATCGCAGGGATCTGAAGCTATACCACCTGCCCTCTTCCTGCCCCTTCATTCTGCCTCAGCCTATTCTGGCCTGGAGCCCAAGCTCTCCCCTACCATACCATTGTTGTTCTGATGGGTCTATACTTGGTGAAGGGACCTCACCATCCTTTGAAAATCAGTGCTGGATTGCATTTATGAAAAAAGAGAAAATAGCCTTGTTAAATGTACATTGTTTCCGGTCCAGATAAAATTTGCATTAGCCTTTGCTGTAGTACAGTGTGACTCTGCCTGCCCTCCTCCTGTCTCTCTCGGTGAGATAGCAAAGGAAAGGGGCTTATTTTAATATAAAGTAAACCCTGTGGAGCTTAAACCCGAAAGATCTTGAAGTCTCTTTAACTTTCAAGTGAAATTATTTGCCTGGTAACTCTCAATGAAATGACCTATTTTTATGATCATGTTCTTATTCTTCTCATCATGAATTCTATTGCTGTTGAAGATCCTGATTAAAATTAAAAATAAATAACTTGAGATTCTTACCCTGGTATCTTAATACCCTTTATTGCTCCCAAAGTGTGCCAGAGGGATAAGAATTTGAGTTGATGACCCTCTCTTATACTGTTAGAAAGCAAAAGACAGAGCATGGACTTGGTGTTTGGCAGGAAATGGGGTGGCAGCATCTGGGGAACAATAATCCCTAAAACCTAGTTTTAAATTTGACCTCTTGACCTTTCAGCCAAGATTAAATAAACTGTTAAGTAGGGGTTGTTTTTTTTTTTTTTTACATTTTTCAGGATCTTTGGAGGCTCCCCAAGTTATTTTCGCCAGATCCAAACCCTTGCCCACACAGTCTGGAGCCCTTGCTACATCTATAGGACAGAGCAAATCAAAGTCGGTGAAATCAGGGTCAATGTAAGGTAACAGTAAGAGTAAGAGCATATTTTCTTATTATAACTTGCTGACTTTATGCCACAGCAAGAGGCCTATTAATTGCTATCAAGAGAAGTGATAGTTTCTCAAAATTACATGGAAATTGGGATTTTATAAAGCCAAGATGATAAGGACTCTAAAACAGGGGTCAAAACTCCAGCTAGTTTGCTTTTGTAATAGCCTCCCAGTAGGTGGCACTGTAGCAGTAAGAAATGTCCTTTACTATTGTAGAAACTTGTTGAAAGATATGGGGACATAGAGGCTGATCAAAGAAAGAAATTAAAGCCATAATTGAGATGTCACAGGTAAAGTGTAACGGAATATATTGGTGAAAGCATGATATTTGCAAATCAAATTGTAATGCCGTCAAAAGAGAATGAATATTTGCTACAGAAGGCTTTTAGACTAGAGTTGGATCGTTCGTGAATTGGACTTGCAGATGATGGGAGACAAAGAGGGAATCAATTTATTTTTAATTTTTAAGTTGATAGATCATTTAAGCTTTCTTCCTCAGTTATTTTAGATAAAAAAATATGCTATAATTGGCAGCCAAACAAGCTATAAACCCATTTTACCACTAATCCAAAAAAAACTCCTACACGGAAGGAGTGGCCTGGCTTGATCTTGTGAAGCTGTAGCCACACTTCACCAGTGCTGCCCCTAGGATTTTGTTCCCAACTGTGGCCTATAACTTTCCGGAAAATTCTATGAAACCACAGGATTTTGATGATCCCTCTCCTCTGTGCTCTACCCTACACACTAAAAACATTAATGGCACACCTGCTATGAGCTTAATACTCTTCTTACCTCGAGGGGAATATTTATAAACTTATTTGAGAAGCATTATTCATCAAAATACCCCGGGAGAGCAAAGAGGGAGGAAAATTATTTACCCACCACAGGATTCATTTACATTGGATCAGAAAGCTTCAAATATCTATCCCCAGCCCATCTAAACTCTTTCCAAAAGGGAATGAGAAGAGAGAAGGGAACACCAAATCCATGGCTTGGTCATCTACCAAAATGTACCAGAGAAACTGAAAACAACCAGAGTTCTATGGGCAATTCTTAGCCAATGGTCCTTTAATTCTGATACTAACCTGCCTGTCCATGATGAACAACTAATAAAATATAGAAAACTAAAGCAAGAAGGTCAATATTTCCTTCAGGAGACTGGCAGCCAGAAAAATGAATGTGACATCAAGCTCCAAACCAAACCAGTGTCCTGCCAAGAAGTACTAATGTCCATCCGTTTCCAGGACTGTGAGACTTGGACCTTCCACAGTAGTAATATCACTTTTCTTGAGCCTATTTCATTAGTTTCCCTTTGAATCCACCCAGAACATTACATGGCAAAATAGGATCATCAGCAAGAAGCCTTGGGAAAGAGCCCATCTCTCAACATTTAAGTCTCTGTTACAAACAGCCCTGCTGAGGCTGAGTTGTCATAAGCTAGACATGGGCGATGCTGGGCTTTGCAGTCAGCTGAGGGGGTGGGACCACGGGCCCAGTGGGTGTGGACTCAGAGGCAGAGGGGGTTAGAGGCCTCAGAAGGCCACCTTCCCCAGTGCCGCGTCACTGTCAGGCAGGCGCTAGAGGCAGGCCCACCAGCCTGGCTGTGGCAGTGGGCTGCCACTCCTTGGGTAATGGCACCAGGTAGTTTACAGAGTGTGGAGGCGGGAACTCAGCCACAGCCCATCACGGCTTTCTTCCTGTGAAAGCAGCATAGACAGAATCACTTCTGAGCAGGGTCTCTTCAGCCACAGTCACAAATGAGAGTCATTAACAGCTGTGACTGTTCTAGAACCTCTTCCTAGGTGAGGTCAGGGAGGCAGTCAGGTAAGATGAGAGGATTTGAAGTGTGTTTTCATAGCATGTTACATAAGACTAAGAAAATATCAGATGTCCATATCCCAGAAAGCAGGGTGCTGGACTGAAGGCTGTGAGACTGAAGACGGTGCTACCCAGACCAGTGTCAGTTTAAATACATGCACCGCACTGTGTCGGCTTAGATCCTCATGGTCTGCTTGGCACCACTTCATCACAGGGCCGGTGTATTTTCTGTATTGTTTGATGCCTTTTGATTTGGGCGCTTTTCAGACCCAGAGAGGAATTGGCGCTCCCAGGGCTAGCCGACCACTAAAGGTAACTACAGGTGGCAGGTGAACATGCTTTTCACATACAGGCCCCCAGCCTCACGTTTATATTCCCAGCCACCTCCTCATAGGACTCTCACATAGCAAACTGAGATTTCCTTTGCCCTAAATCACTCCAAAGACAAGGTCCAGACAATTCAAGGCCACCCACTAGCCCAAAGCCCACCAGACTTGCCCAAACTAGTCAACCCTAAACTGTTTACCCTGGAATCATCAGAGGGGGTTCTCACTTAGACTTCCCCCAGCTCTCGTATCCTGACCACACTGGTGATTTCCCCTGTGGGCCTCCCGGGCTTGAGCGAGTCCCCTCTCTGCTACCTATGAGTAAAATCACTTCTTCTGGCCACGCCTCGGACTTATGACCTCCTGTGGTCTCACCACCTTTGCCATACGTGACCAGCTCAGCCTGTGGATTCTTAGGTCAAGCATCCATACGAAGAGTGTATCTAATTTCAGTGTAAGGAACCAGGAAAAATCTAAATCATTTAGGTTCCTATCACCCAGTTCGAAGCAACTGGTCGTAGCGCTTACTTCATTCTAGGCTGCACTGCACAGTGGTGCTTAACAGCACGCGTTTTGCTGGCCTCAATCTGCCTGCAGCCACACAAGAAGGATGTGGATCCACCTACATGGCAAAATGGCCTGGCCGCCAGCCATTGAAATGTCAGGCTTTCCTGTCCTGAGGCCTCTTTCATTTCATTTAGTAACTGTTTCTACATTCAGAAACAAAACTCAAGCATAGCTGAACAAACTTGTTGGAAGTGGGGGAGGCTGACCAACCTGGCCTTCAGGGTTGAGGGCTGGCGAGTGGTCCTTTTTAAGACCCCACCCAAAGGAGACTCATTGTTAAAGAAAAGCAGGGAACTCTACTTCTGAAATGGATTAAGAAATGAACTACTAAGAATGATAGCATCTGAAAATTGATATTGTCTCTTGCTGAACTGGCAAAGACCCAAGAGAGGAGTGATGATTCTTCCATTGTTAACAATTACTACTTTGTTATAAGGAGATAAGGGGAGTGCAGTGGCCCCTTTCTCAAATGACACTGATGTGACAGAAGCACACACGCCTCCAAGAAAACCTGCCTGGCGCCCTAGATTGTTAGGGGGTACCTACCACTGCATCTTGGAACAGATATGTGCTGGCCTCTCTAATAGCCACTCACTTTGGGTAGAAAAAAATCCTGTTTATTCTTGTAATCCTGAACTGGGCAGGTAACCAGCACAACACTGCCTCGCTCTGTGAGTCTTTATACTTATCTCTACAAGTTATCAATCTGTTCTCTGTGGTTATTCATCGCATGAACCCACACATCTTCCAGCTAGTTTCAATGAGATGCTTGTTATAAGCACATACCTTCGCTTTACCATCCTTATATCCTCAGGATATAATTGCTCCTAAAGGTTCTAAAGAAAGAAAACGGCATGCTAAGCCATGTCTGTCTTTGGAAAGAAAAAAAAAAAAAAAAAAAAAGCAAGCTTTGCACATGGAAACTTTTATAGCTCCGCTGCCTGATCTATAGAATTTGAACTGGGCCCGGAAGAGTGTAGGTGTGGAGGAGAATGAATTGAATGAAGCACATTGCTCTGTTGGCCTGATTGCCACTGATGTTTATCCTTTGTTCTTTCAAATTCCGATTCTAAAGAAAAAGACTCAGATTCTCTTAAGTCCTTGGAATGAAAAGTATCACAAGTAAAAGTAAAATAGTAGTCTCTTATACTTCTTTGTTCTCAGCTCTCAAATGTGTGGCTATTTTCATTTAGCTCCGTAGGTATCAAGGAACCCTCTTCTCTTGAAACCAGTCTAGACTGGCTGGTTATCCATACCAGGAGGCATCAGTTTGAATGTGTGGATGACCCATGAGCTAGCCATACAGCAACAAAGCGTAGCCTGTGTCTCCTGTGTAGGTGGGAGCGCAGCTCAGCCAAACTGCTCATAAGGTGATGAGGTGAAGAAAAAAGCCAGCTGGTCACAAGTTGCTGTGCTAGTGCTATTTGTTTGTTGTTACCAGGGAGAAGCAGCGCTCTTGTACAGTGATTGGGCTGGAAAGCAGTTTTGAGGGTTTTTTCTCTCTTCCATTCACTTCTAACTTGTTTCCCAAGCAAATGATGACATGTGACAAGCCCAGAGATACTGGATTTGATAAGATTGATAACTTGTAGAGATAAGTATAAAGACTCACAGAGCGAGGCAGTGTTGGATTTGTTTTGAAGTTATTATGACTGAGCTGTGAAATTCATTAGGTGAAGTCTTGTTCACAGCTGTTTATCAGATACTGGAATATGAAGTTTTTAAAACTGCAACACCTTTTTTTTTTTTCCAAATATGACTCCTCGTGGGCCTTCTTTTCCATATATATCTATCCTTTCTGCTATTCTCCAGTATAAATTGCCTTTGTGCACGTGTTGTGTTCTTACCCTGCAGTTTTTATGCAGAGAATTTGAGTTGTGCGAGGCAAACTTTCGGTTATCAAGAAGAAAAATAGGGCCTCCCCTGGTGGCGCAGTGGTTGAGTGCTAGGCTGCGAAGCTGCCCGCAGCCTCTGCAGCGCCAGTTTGATCCCCACATGGCGCGCAGACCTCTCCTGCCGCCCGCTGCTCCCCTCAGCAGTGTACTTCATCACTCTGCCTATTCTTCTCTCCGCTCTGGCTCTGGTGAATTCTCTCACCCTCCCACGCTTCTGACTGTACCCAGAGCTTGTATAAATCAATCAATCTTAAAAAAAAAAAAAATCTCCATTTAAAAAAAAAAGAAGAAGAAAAATAACCTCAGTTTACTTCTGTCAGGAAAAGTTGCCAGAAATGAGTTCCTACGAAGCTGTCGTAGG